TAGACAGATAGAAAGAGAAAARTCCAGATCGTCGGACAGCCGCCGGGGTAGCCACAGGCAATTTTGGACCCGTCAGTATAGACTGAGATGGTATCTTCCTCCCCTACTATGCCCCTTCTCCATTTACGTCTAGATAGTATCTTTACCTGGAAATGCCTACTGAAATCCAGTATTGGGAGAATGATTGAATGTTTACACTGAGTTGGTTTAGGATATTAGTATGTCCACAGTTCTTCTGATTCCCACCACCCAATTCAATCTTGAATAATTTCCAATCCTTGTATTGGCATGCGCATGCACTGTATCTTAAATATCTGGACTCAATGAATTGAGCCCGAAGCCAGATGTAATAATATTGATCTATTTGGAGGAAAAACCCATTCCATATGAAATTATATAAGAGCATAACACGAAATATGCATATTTTGAACGCTTGATAAATAGACTATTTTAAGCCTGTTAGAATACACAAGATTCTTAACATGAAAATTGTCATACACACACCCGAGTCATTCACACAGACGAGCTGGCCTGCCTTTTCCTTTCTCTCTATTGCCATATATCCCAGATGAAGTAAGCCGAGTTACTGCTGCTACTTACTAAGAGTCCAGTTATTGACTGCTTACATTATCTAACGCAGTGAAACTTAGTATTGGCGCTACAGTTGGCCTTAATTTCCGCACAAAAATATATGTGCTCGTTTATAGAAGAGAGCGAATTCGAAATCATCAATCAAGGCGCTCTTTATTAATTAATTTGAACGTTTAAATCAGCAAGTCAACAATAAATTCGATAATCGGGCATAATTCATTTATTAGTGCGGATGCTATATTTATTTAAATTATTGTCGACAGCACAGCAACAACAAAAACAAATGCAMCAAAGTGCAGTGAATTTTAAGCAATTTTTTATTTATTAACACTTTATTCAATTTATCGCATCAACGCGCCGACGGGGCTCAAATGTGTGTAAGCTGCGGAAAACCACCGTCACAACAACAACAACAGCATGCGAGCACCATATGGTATACAAGGGAAGCAACAACAAACGCGAAAAATACACATACACATACACGCGCGCAGGCAAGCCAAAACGATTATAAACCTTTGAGCTGTCAAAAGAGTTTAAAAACATYATTTTTCATGTAATTAATTACAACTACAAATTACCATAGCAGCGGAAAAAGGTGAGCCACCGAAAGTTGAAGCGCGCTGCGCTGCTGCYGTTGATGTTGCTGATGTTTGTGTTGCAACTGCAATTGAGGTGATGCGCTGCTGATGTTGATGCATCGAGACAACTATGCCGTTGGTGTTGCTGTTGTTGTTGTGTTTGTTGTCGGCATAAAGCATATTATGCGYTTTTTTCCGATTATAATGCACAAATGTCAAAATATTTACATAAATTTGTACGTGTGTGTGTGTGWGTGAGCCGCTGAGCAGCAGCAAAAAGTCGCTCACAATAAAAATGAATGAAGAAAAATGATGCACAAATGAGAATTGTAAAAATGCAGTTAGCACACACTTACGATTTTCCACAACAGCGAGCACACAGCGCCATACCTTATGTGTATGTATGTATGTATGGGCTTACCGCACAGAACAATAAAAAATGCATTTTTCGTTTTGGCGCTGAGAAGTGGACACTGCAGCAATGCATTCACACTGTAACTGCTTGTAACTGCTTTCCGATACCTTTGCATCTACATACATACATACATCCATATATACATACGATTGACACATAAAAGCTGGCTCAGACAGAACAAGTTCAGCGCGCAGCATAAAACTTAGTTGCTTGTTACCAAAAACAAAAACCAAAAAACAACAAACACGCCATAAGAATGAAGCTGAAGTCGAAGCATAAATGCCAAGCGTAAGCGCCAAACTATTGAGAAGCCGCAGCAACAACAAAAACTGGTTTCATGAACAGCATTACAGCAAGAACAACAGAGAAAATATGTCGAACTTGTGTTTGATGGCGAAGTTTAGGGCCAACTTTAAAGTACATAATAGGTTTCACACGCGCATACATACACAGACACACACGCGTGCACTCGTACACTCGTACACTGTCAAGCACAAACACGCCACATAAAATAAATGGAGAGCAAAAGAACCTGCAGAAGTGGCTCGAAAGCGAAATATCAACAAAAAGCAGGAAGTCATGTGGCGCGCTGAAGACAAGCACTTCAGCGGCTTGCAGAACCACTGAAAAAGCAGTTGCAACAACAACAATAACCGCATGAAGTATCAGCTGAAGCCCATGCAGCGGAAGAAGACGCTTAAGCAGTAAGGCCAGCACATGAGAAGGGCTTCAGCAGATCAGATCGATAACATAGTTTAATAAATGTAAATATATGGAGATATGTACGCTATATAAATAAAAAATGTAATTAAATATATATACTGGTTTATATACATAACAGTTTTTCGAAAACAAAACCAAAGATTACACTGAGATAATACACCTGTTTATCAGATTTAGCAACCATTTCTGGTTCAGATGATTTCACTACTGAGTTACAACCATGCTCAGTCAGATAAAAATCTGTATCTGTTCCAATTACTTAGACTCAACTGTTGTGGCAATGGTGCAGTCAAACTAGCCTAAGATGTAGACAAAAGCGCTGAACCCTGAATAATGGAGGGAAAGCACTTGATTTCATTTTTCAAAGGCGGTGCTCCAAGGAAATACTTGATCCGATTAACTAGTATTTCGACGCCAACCACTAAAGGAAGTATTTTTTTGATCCTACAACTTCGAACTGACAATCTATTGTTTTGTCTTCAAGTTCAGAAGTCAGCATCCATTCAGATTGYATTAAAGTTGACACAATCTCACAATTTTAGCATTTCACTTAGCCCTCTTATGTTAATTCTGCTGTTGCCTAAACACAAAGCCTCAAATACAATTTCAAGGAACTGTTCCTTCGACTATTCCAAAAGTAGTTTAGCGGAAAGATTTTCGTCATCCATTGAGAGATCACGAAGATAGATTAGGATGAGCGATCGATTCTAAGAGAGATCTTACTAGAACGGCTTAGATCGGCGGTCCATTGTGATACCAGCAAACTCATATAGTATATACTGGATCTTAAGACCCTCACATATCAACAAAGTAGTTCAATAGATCGCTTACGTTTTACTCTAGGCTAGAAARACCTCACAGTTGGGCACGAACTGGTCATCGACCAGCGATTGCTAAGCACACGCGAGGCCCATTCATCCAATACTAGAACGCAATACGCCAAAGGGGATCCAACTCGGATCCATTCCGATTCGGGCGAGGCAAGTGTGTCCTCTCTGGCTGGTTTATTGGTTTTTTTATTTGCCTCCGTTTCTGCTGTGACTAGTCCCACAAACAAAGCTGATGAGGAAGTAGTTTGATGCTATACATACACCCGCTTGAAATGCATTACAGTGAGCCGGTAGCCTAAAGCTATGATTCACGGGTAGCTCCCTACAGAAAACTCCTCATGCAACATTGCCTACTAGTTTCGACGAATCCGTGGAAAAGCTCAATGTGCATTTTATCCAACGATTTCTTCCTATCCACCTTCGAAGGAAGGAAGAATTTCAGAYTGACCTTGTTCGGACTCTTTTACAAGTATATAACCAGCTTGACTGACTCTTACAACACACTTCGCAGTAAAGCACTTGTGGACAATGTTCTCGAGCCCTAAGCCTTTAGTGCTATTGTTGGTGTAGCCCGTCTACCGGATTTGCCAATGAGAATCGCTCTTTGGACACGTTGAAGCTAAGTGAAGCTTTTTCGAGCGCCCGTCAACACACAAGTACACCATGATAGAACATGCTTGGTTTTACGATGGTTTCGTGAGAGTCCCTACTTTTTACCTATAGCTCCTTTAAAACAATATAAGACAACCCATACTCTCTTTAGTCGGTCCTCAAAAGATTTCAAGGTTAGTCCTACATCTTTCACTTTATCGACAACTTGAAGAATTGGAACACCGAAGGGGGAGAGAGGCACGTTTGGGAGAAATCATAAAGATAGTTAAATGAATTCTTGCTCAAATGGTTCAGCCGCTCTCAAAACGAGTGTTTTTCTTCTTTGAACACCCGAGTTTGTATTCTGAAGCCTATTCAGAAGCATGACCCATTTATATAAACGAAATTCCACACAAACTTCTTCAAATTTCTCACCGTGTACACGCTTTAAACAAGGTATTTGTACAACTATGCGCGTGGTGGCCAGTTATGCTTGTTGTGCTACGTACGAGTATTTATAGGCAAAGCAGGCACCAATGGTCGATTCAATTGTTGAAAGGGTTCAGGCCGGTTTCGAGAAGCAGAGGTGCTTCAAAACCAAAACATCAAACAAACGCTCTTGGCACACACAAACAATAACAGGTTAAATAGCGCGCGTTAGACAGCGAAGGATGCACTGATAATGAGAGAGTGTGAGAGCGAGAGAGAGCAAAACATAAGAAGCAGTTGCACCTGAGCCGCACAAAGAGTCCAACTGTGGCATTATTGAAAGCAAACAAGATAACGAAGTTGTCCTCTGCTGCAGGTTACTAACAGAGGCCGAATGAAGATCCGTAGTGGTGCGCATGCGCAGCAGCCACTAGCGTTATGCGAAGAATTCCCAACGTACCAAGCAAACGAAGTGATGTTGTTTGGAGAGCGCGCAGTTTTCCAGCCATGCAAATGCTGTAAGCGACGGCGCTCAGCCGCGCGCTCAGCGAACTTGTTTGGACCAGAAATTTCCAATAYTCTCACGACTACTTATTACATGATGCTGTCGCGCTGCTGATTTGCTCTGAGCAGCGGCGCTAATGCGCAGTAGCCGTTGCTGTCACAACGCTGGCTCTCACCTACGCTCTGCTGCCTGACTGCAAGTGCGCTGCTGAGCAACCGAGCAGGCTGCACACGAGTMGGCAGCTCGCTGCTTGTTTCTCGCTTAGCTTTCGACTTTCCAGCGCTGGTTGCTGTGCGAATGCCTGACGCTCCGCAATTTAGTACTCAGTTGTTGTGCCCGTCAAGCGAACGTGTTCGGTTAATCAAAGCGTGTGCCCTACACTGTAATAGATACACAGGCCGTCGGAAAATTCTWTGCTTGCCACAGTCAGCAGCAACACCACCACCACCACTACTACTAGCATCACAGCTATTCACCAACAGCGCCCCAACCACTAAAATCATTAACCCGATATATGCGCGTGCATGTATATGTGTTTGCGTGTGCGCGCAAGTGTATGTGTGTGAGTGTTTTCAGTAAAGCAAATTGAAGTGAAGTTGCCAGCTTTAAGGCAGCAAATGTGCTAGAATCGCTCGATTAAGTGGTGAAAATCTTCAAAAACAAGTTCGCATAGACGTGAGTTTCGCGTGTGAAAGGTGAAGGTAATGAAATAAATAAGTAAAAGCAATTAAAAATGTCAACAATCGGAACTAACGCCGTGACTTGTGTACGCGGCGGCGCTTAAGGGTGGGAAAATGTTGTGTATCGYTGGAGCGTGAAAAACTTTTCGACACGAAAAAGTCACATAAATCATTATCGGGCGTCTGCTGCAGTTAAAAAAGTTGTAATCTTTGTTATTTCCGAGTAAAAGCAGGCACTTTGGGGCGCCTCGGTGCTGCCGTGCTTTAATTATGCACATGTGCCGCCTTAATATTTTACACTAAAAAATGCATACATTCTTGCGCGTGTATGTGTGCGCTTGTGTGTAGCTGCTAAGTTATTGGAAAAGCAGCAACAACGAGCACACACAAACGCCAATAGGCGGGGGAAAATCGGCGAAGAAAAATTCTACACAGCAAAGTCTGCAAATACCTTTGGCACGCAGTAGCGCTCACCGCACCGCGTCGCGACTCCGGTTTTGCACGCCAAGTCAGCGGGAGAGGAGTTGGCGCGCTACACCAAGTGAGCGAAAACAAAAAACACACACTAACAACATATAAAGAAACAAGCAACAACAACCAACTGAAACTGGYGAAAAACTGCAAACTGCCTCAACGCGCCTTCTATAGCGCGATATGTATGCAGCTAGTTAGGTAGACTATACATATATACATATGTATGAATGTATGTATGTATGTATATATTCGCCAGTATTTATGTCTGTAAGGCGCAACGCTGACCACACCCGCGCGCGTGCACAGGTTTGAAAATTTCGGAAAATTTTCCAGTTTGGCAGGCGCTAATAGCAAGCTGGCAGCAGGCAGCAAGCGGGCAGTCGTCAATTGCTGCCGCTGGAAAATGCAAAGGCAGCCAGGAATGCCAACAAGAACAAGCAGTAACAGCGGCATTGGCAGCAGCAGCAGCAGCAGTTTGTGGCTGCAGAGTGCAAAAGCATATTACAGGCTTTGACCAAGGAAACATGTTGAGTTGGTTTGCTTAACTTGAGCAGTTGAAACTACAGAGCATCCCACAGCTTGTCAGCGTTTGGTTGTGTGTGTGTGCTTGCCAATGTATTATGTGTATTTGGTAACGCAAGCCTACAATCACACACAACTTTTCCTTTGCACATGTACTTCGTATCCGCATGTAAGAGCCACTTTAAGTGTCAACTTGCACGAACGCGCGTCCTGTGYGCCCTGCCGACCGTCAGCTCCGCCACACAGAMATCAGCAATGAGCAGTGYCCSTGCTGACGCTCCCCCGCTTGCCATTCGYACCATCGATTTGCAGCGGCGCGTTCTGCGGCAACTCTGCACTCAGCTGGGTGTTGTTTCTGTGCAGAATCTGTAAACAAAACCCGAAATATACACACATGTGCGAGTACGAGCAACTTTGACAGCTCTTTGGCMAAACTCAGTCGCTTCACATGCCATCGACAGCTTTCATAACTCACGTCTTTTGCAGGCTTATCCGTTTTCGCTCACTGCTCACTTGTTCTCTCCTGTGTAGAGGCACTCACTCACTATGCTGATAGCGGTGACTTTGTTCGTTGTCTCCAAATTTTCTTTGACGATTATCTTTAAACGAGTCCACTCTTTTTTTCACTGGGCACCGTTAGCTTTGTCCGAACACCATCAGCTGTTGCCGAACACTCAAATGAGTTCTATGTAACAAACTAAGCTTTCTAGTATTTTATCCATTTTAAAACCAATATATAATCGACCTATTTCATTTTCCGTTTAATTGCTACTTCTAAAACATACTTTGAGGTTATTTCCTTAAAGAATGGTTCTATTACATCTGGGCATTAAAGCTTCGGAAAGGTTCGACAATATGACGACATCTTTAGCAGTTTGAAATCTTAGTGTTTTGGTGAAAAACTTTTCATCAGMAAGGTCTACAAATTTTAAGGGAATAATTAGACTAATTGGACCCTGATATTTAGACTTACTCAGACTCGAATTTCGGGATTATTCAGGGATTAGAAAATATGAACAAGGAAGAAAGGAGTCTTACTATGACTAAATTATAAGACATAGTAGGCTTGTAGGCAGGATAAGGCTAAGATATGAGGTATAGATATAAGAATATCTGTAGAMWAAATACGAAAAGACTTTTTCGACTACACAATGCATCAGTTATCCGTAAGAGAGTGCGTTAATGAACCCCTTTACCTGAAASAACTATACGCTAAACAAATATTTCTGCTTAAATTCAAAAGATTGATCTGAAATAAATATAAGTTGTACACTCGCATATACACTTTAGCTCCGGATAACTTAAAAAACTCGCTGAAACTGCTGAAAACTCAATCGAAATCCGAAGAGTACACTGAAAACGAAACGCAAACGTCGGTCGTTTTTGGATGTTATTAGACATCTGCAAAGCTTCCAATTGTTAAACGTCACTGAAAGAGCTGCCGAAGTGTCGCTCCACCAACTGACGTTTGCTGCCACTACGCTCCCGTTATTTTGAGCACATTTCGAGCGCTGTCCTGCCATGGCGCCCGCAATGCAGAAATTTTGTGGATTGTGACCAAACGCGCTGGAGCACACAAAACAGACGGAGACGAASACAGACGCCGCCAACAGAGACATCAGAGTAGGACAGACACGGGCGCGCGCGCTTCAAATAAACTAAATAATTGAACAGGGTTATTATAAATTCTAATAATTTGAAAAATGTGAAAAGAATGCGCTGGGGAAATAAAGTGTGAAATAAATACGCTAGGACAGTGAGTTTACGCGTTTTTTTTTTGTTACTAGTTTGTGAAATCACAACTGATATTCACCGATAAAGTCGCAGTGAATATTAATCACCTTAAATTTGTTCTGTTTTTTGTGAGTTTTTTTTTTGTTTTCAAAACTAGTCCTTGCCGTGCTGGCATTGCGCTCAAGCACGTGTGTAGTGTGTTGTGACCTAATCTGGTGGGGAAGCAAAGTGCAAAAGTGCTCACCGYCGAAGAACAGCGGGGTCGCCAAGCGCGTGCTGCCAGACTAGTTGGCTGTGTTGAAGTGTTGAAGTGTCGAAAATGAAAATGTAAAATTAAAAAACAGTTAGACAACGAGGCGACAGCCGCAATGCTAACAGTTCAACASTCACATGTGACATTGCCGTCGAGTGAGTGAGTCACGTGCCAAATTGTGTGTTCGATACCGAAAATTGCGAGAATTGTTAATAAAATGCCAAAAGGGCGTGGATGAGAGGTCAACTGTGTGGCAAACAACGAAATAATGAAAACATGAAAAGCGGAATTTACTGTGAAAACAAGTGCGAAAATGATTGAATTTGGTGAAAATAATTGTGTGTGTTGAGTTGTGCTAAGATGTGTGGCAAAGATTTGCGCCTCAAAAGTGGAAAAAAAAGTTTTTGAAAATTTTTAAATATTCCCTGAACGTGATTTGTTGTCTTTGCTGAACCATTCTTGTACAACTGCCAAGAATATATAACTTTTTTTTTCAATTTAGCTGGCTTTTAATGTTCAATTAAAATATTACAACTGCTGATGTGCTATTGTGCGCAGAATTTTAAATTTTTTCAAGTGAGCGCTGAACAGTAGAGCTATTTTTCGAAATAAAATTGGAAAGCAGCTTAACGTGACACTAATCCCTTTGCTGTGAAAAACGCGGCGCTCACTGAAAATAAGAAAATAAATACAAAGAAATTCGCTGATAACATTTTGACTGTAGATAGTTGAAATGAAAAGCGGCTACAATCAGAGAAACACACAAGGGCTTATTGAACAAAAGAAAGAATCTTGAAATTACAAGAAGTAAAAGCTTTCACCAGCTTTGAGTAAAAAAAAAAATAAATAAAAAATATAAAAAATTTGAAACAAAAATTTTATAAAAATTAAATTATATATCATATATTCGAAAAAAATTATTTCCATAACTTTTCTCAAGGATTAAATGTGTAAAATATTTTTGAAAAAAATTATGTTTTTAAAAGCGCCTTTGTGTTCAAGATTTCTTTTTGACTACATTTGGGACAGTTTTTATTATATTTGAAATTATTTCTAAAAAATTCGAAACAACAAATAAAAACACTTGAAAAAAGCTAACACTTGCAAACTGAACCTCATAACGATAATATAATAAAATTGCCAAATATATAGCATAGCCGAAAAAGTCTTTTCGTATTTTCAATCAAACTTCAACTTATTTATTTAATATTGACAAGTATAACAAAGTTTAAAAAAACCAAATATGTACCACTTGGCTACATATTATTACTTTTTGTAATTTTTCCGCTAGAGACATTTTTCCTTTAATGTAAATGGTTCTGGTTTCTGGGCAAAAAACTGCGACAAGTAATTTCCACAGGCTTCTCTTGAAGTCGACTTTACTCCATTAATGCAGTTCAGGGCTATATGATGGATACATCAAAATTTCCCAGCCAAGCTCTCCCAGTTTTTGCCGAGTCATCAAAGATGTGTGTGGTCTAGCGTTGTCCTGGCGGAAGACGAAGCTCTTTCTGTTGATCTGTTCTGGCCATTTTGTTTCGATTGCTTGCTTTAATCTCATCAACTATTGACAGTTAAATGTAGAATCAATCGTTCGACCAGACTGGAGCAGCTCATAGTAAATGACTCCTTTTCAAACATTCGATTGCTGGCTTCACGAGCATTTGTTGAGTTCCACTAAATTTTTCACCGACAATTCATGTGGTATCCAAACATCGAGCTCCTTTTTGTAATCAGCCTTCTTTAAATGGCTCAAAAAAATCGTTTGATGATGAATGATAAATTTCCTAGGCATTGTCATGGCTGCTTACGTGACAGTCCTGGTCAATCTTTTCAATAATTTCATCGACTTTTTCAACGATAGGTCGACCAATGCGAAATGCACTTTTCACRCGGAATTTTTAAGAACAGAAGCGAGCGAACCATTGTTGTGCGACACGAACTGAAACAGCATCGTCTCCGTAAACTTCACAAATTTCATTGGCGGCTTGCGTGGCATTTTTCCCCTTTTTTTGTACAAAAATTCTTAAATATAGCAAATTTCTTCATTATTTGCACTCTTTTTGAACAGTTGRAAAAACTTCCCCGAATTTAATCTTTGTGGTTAAATGAAGCTTTAAATATCACCTTTCCAACATTATATAATATGACTGAGACCTGCAGATACACGACAGCAACGACATCTATAGATAAAAAACAAAAATACTTTTTCCACTACGCAATTTGAAAAAGGTATATTGCCTTATGTATTCAACATRCAAAAATAGTGATAAATGTAATGTTAATGTTGGTGACGAAAATATTTTTGAAATTTATGATACGTACCATGTTCCTATGATAAATAAACTGGATGCATTTGCTATATTTTTTAACGCGATACACAACAATATTTTTAGGACAAAATATTGCAGACTCCGCCTTTCAATAATATACACAAAGGTGGTTTAGCGCTTAAGTGAATTTGTATTTTTTTAACATGTTTCATATTTCTACAAAATTTAGGCGAAATTTTTCAATTAACACCAAAACAATACAGGGTGTAAGTGCGCTCTGAAACACACRAAGAAGTTACAACTCAGAACAGCAACAAAAACTGCTTATAAGTGAATTGTAAACGAGAAAAGCAACAAACAAAACCAAATCAAAAATTCACAGAGAAATCACTTATAATAATAAAATCAGCAGGCTGGGTTGCCTGTCAACGCGCCCACGTAAAAAGTGCTTAACAACTGCCCCAAAACCCAAGCAGCGGCTGGGGAGCGCCAGGTATTAAGGGCTTATTCGTGAAAACGTGTAATTCATACTTTAATGCAGTGAGAAAAGTCAAAAAAACAAATACAATAAACACCACCACTCGCCCCAAAGTCAGCATCGAAGTGTGCACRAAAAGCGAGCGCGTTTGTAAAGTGGACTTGTGAAAGTATCAATTTCAGACGCCTCTTTTTGAAAGCAACAAAAAGTCAATAAGTGTTTACAGATATATTTGCTGAAATATCCAAATTTATTTTGCATTCGCTGCGGCAACCATATCATCACTTTTTCCSTCAGCTTCGTCACACAGTAACTCCGACATTCATTGGTACGTCAAGTTGGATAATGAATGCGCAAAAAAGGTGAGTACACGGTAGAGCTACCAATTTTATTTCTTATTCAATTACCGAAGTTAATTTAGGAAGATACATAATRTATTCTGGAACCAATTTGGTAGAGGTTTCTAACATTATCTACGTGAAAATCTGATTCGAACCAAAGTATGTGTGTTGTTTGGAGCTTGGAATAAGTCGATTGAGGTTAGAAATAGAGCTGTGCTGAAGAAACACCAGATCAACTCATACGATTCCTCGATAAAGAGTGTTTAGATATTTTTGTTAAACATAGTTTAATTTATGTTGATGAAAAAGAAGCTTAAGCTTAAGCCTCTTTTCTGAACAGTCTGTATCAAAGTTTAGCAGAAAATCTTATCAAAAAACATCAAAAAACTATTCCCTTAATAACTATAAAATGCATGGCTTTAATGAAAAAAGATTTTACTTACATAAGTATATAAAATTATCTGCGAACTGTCTCGAGCTTCTTCTAAAAAGCAATTACAAGTTAATTATGAACCCACCGCCTGACCAAACACAACCTCTCCAAGGGCCTTAAGCAGAAACTAAAGCATAAGAAAGCTCAACAAAGTACTTATTTCAACCACAAAACATAATCATTCATTCACTTATTCATTCATTTGTTTTAATAATGACCCTACGTGTAGTACATAAGTATGTATGTGTGTATAAATATATGTGTGTGCGTGTGTCTTTTATGCCAAAACATTGTGCGAACAGAGCAAGCAAATGCAGAGCATAACAACTTTTATAGTTTGAAATTGCTTTGAGAAAATTGTGTGTTTGCTGAAGATTAACGGCACCACAAAAGCCCTGCATTGTTGGTACAAAAAGTCGAAGTCACAAAAACACGCCAAAACAAATGACAATAACTACTTAAAAATCCATAAATCTTCAGCAAATGTACATGTACAAATATATAACAAATATATATATATAAATACATATAATTGTGTGTGTGTGTGTGTCAGTAATCCTTTTACGAAATGTGTAGCAAATGAAACTAAAACCAAAATMCGCAAAACGCTATCATTTATCATTATTAACAATTTCGTCGGTTGTTGAGAGCTTCAACTTGCGATTGTGTGTTGGTAAATATTTCTCTGTATGCACATATGTACATACAAGATGCTATTATTTTACTTTTATTGCAACAAACTCGTAATCAAGCATTAAAATAAGTCTGACGAAAGTATGTGCTTGTTAATATAAATCTGGCGTAAGCTGGCTGCTGGGAGGCTTAGGAATTTCGTAGATCTAAGAAAAGTGCTCAAAAATTTACTGAACAAAACAACGCTAAAGCAGATTTACTAAAAGTATTAAGAAACTAATTTAACTCGTTACTTTTTTGCTATCTCTACTCCTCGTTCATGCAGCAGAAAATAAACTTTGCGATTATAAGTTTTTCGTTAGCGTCTCTTGCATCGATATTTGGAGATTACTGCTTTTGAGAACTTTCAAATTTTGTGTTATGTTGTTGAGTGAATTGTTTTATTCAGACTTGAGATACAACTAAGTCTTGAATCCAACGCAGAATCACTCTTGCTAATAGATGGTGCTTTGGGCTGTGTAGGCAATTGAAAACTAAAATCCGCTCTCGGCGAACAAAGACCAACCCTACAAGTTACTCATCATTCTCGTCCCGTTATATGCAGCGGAGGCATGAGCAACGACMTCATTTGATGAGTCGGCCTTAGGAGTGTTCGAGGGAGAGGTTTGGCGGAAGATTTGTGGACATTTGAGCATAACGTTTCCTCCAGCTATAAACAGTATTAAAAAAAAAAAAATCCCATATAAAAAATGAAATATTTATTAGAATTTTTTATTGTTACTAACATACACAATTAGCAAAGAAGTTCTGAAATTTTTGGAAGCAAATATTTTAAACTCGGCCATTGCGTCGCCATTACCGGTTTTCCCCTCGAAAAAATGATGCGCCCGCCTTGGCCCTATCACAACTCCTTACAGAATCATCTAAGGTGCACAAAATATGTGTTTTAGTTGAAACCTTAACTTAGAACTTGATCGTTGGAAGAAAAAAACTGAAAATTTCGCGATTTTTTTTTCAAATACATAGTTGTAATCGTAAGAAAATTCTTCGTTCAAGTCTTTAAGAATTGTGTCTCAAAGCATGTGTAAAATTTCATGAAAATTGGTTTAGTAGTTCTCGAGAAATCTTCAAAACTTCGACAACATACTTCAAAAACACAGTTTTGAAAAAACGCTGCTAAAGACGGCACACTTAGCCTAGTAGCCCATAAGTTCTCAAGGCTGTATCTCCGAAACTATTACTCACATCTACTGGAAAATTTAGGACAATATTCTAGAGATATTTTAGTTGTTAATAAGACAGTAAAAGAACATCAATTTTTTTAAACCCGTAAACCCATGTAACCACTTAACTTCAGCTCATACTTTTTCTGTTACAAATTAGACCCGTCATCTGCCAATTAGAAGCAAAAAGTACACCAAATTTTCACTACTGTATCCTCAAAGATTAACCACAGTTCTGTTAGGAAATGGRGAGTTAATTTTTACTGTCGAAATCGAACTATGATCCTATATACGAGTAGTGTTTCTTCATCGGAAATCAAAACCAAAATTGTGTTCAGTGTCTATGTTGGTTCTAGGATAGGTGAATATGTCTATAACTCGATTTTTGGTCCTCTGGCATGGAATTAGAGCCTCTGCTTCTCATTTTAGTGGACGATAAAGATTATTTCGTTCTTATTTTGATTTAATTTASAAATACTGAAGCAAATAGTGCGCTCTTTTTTAAGATAGTTCATGTTTTTATTTCATTGAAATAGCGTCTTATTAAAATCTCATTCAGTGGCCTTTTGAAATGTTAGATTTTTTTTCCTCAAAAGAACAATTGCTCCATTAGTGAGAGATTTTGCGACTGTGATGTTAGARGCTGTTTCTYGTTAACTTTGGATTGCTGAAACTGAAAATTTTTTTCTGTTGTAGTCCAGGAGTCAAACCACCACTACCTTACTTTAATGAGAGAAATAGCTTTAAGTGATAGAAAATGTTTGAACTTAAATTTAATCAAGACACGATAAATATCTCAAAGACCGCTTAGCACATCAGTTGCAAACCATTCTTGCAGCTTTGCAGAGTAATGTTATCTTTAAGTGAAAACTTTTCAAACATCCAAGTGCGGTCTCAATCTTTTGCTACTTGCTCATAGATGCCAACATAAAATATAAACATAAGTTTTCAAAATATCTCCGAGTATGATCRACTTTACATAAGAAAAAACTTTCGACCAAGTATTTATACAATTGTTTTTATCACATTTTCTCGTTGCTGCAACGAATTGGGCGATTGTGGACTCACCATTTATTTATAAGCACGCAAAATTCCAACAGCTTACATAARTATCGCTATGCGTAAAGCACTAGATCCACTTATTTTTAGAAACGCTTGCACAAAAACTCCAAATACACATAAATATCTGCATTTGAGTATGTAAAAAGCATTTCATGTTTGCTTTTTGGGACGTCAACTCCCCGCAGACGATTTTCACACCACATTTCGTCCGCTTTAAGTTTCCAAACGAAAGTTGCTTGGCTGTAGTTTTCAACAATTATGTCATTACTCTGTGGTTTCTGGCTTTGTTTTGGCTTTTCTCGAATATGTCGTAATTCGTTTTTCATAAACTTTTTCTCTGCACTCGATTTTGCCACAKACACACACACATACATGCAGAGCGGTCAGTGGCGGCGAGTGGCCATAATTTTATGTGTTTTGCAATTTGTGCAATTGTTGTTGTTGCCTTTGCCTGAGATTGCGAATTTGTGTTGTTACGATATGAGCTTTTCGTGCGAGTTTGAATGTAAATTTATGAATTTGAACTTTTACATTTTTGTTGCTGCAATTCTTTTGTGGTTGTTACACATTTTCTTCAAATTGCTTGCCGAAAACAAGGGTAATTGGCCGACAGTGGTTGAGGCTGCCTAGAAACAATGTCAAATTGGTCATTAGTAGTCCAAAGTTTTAACARAAGGTTGGAAATATTTACATTTTTTGCAAACAGTTATTTTGTGTAATAAAATATATTCAATATTTAATTCTGCTCTTGAAGTTTGTTGAAAACGACTTTTTGGATATTGAAAATAGAATTACATTAGTAAAGGGAAATGCACTTGTAAGTGAAATGAAACAAATATTTTGACTGTGGCAGTTTTGGACAGAAAAAAGTGCTCAAATTCATAGGAACTTATTATATTATTGTATGCAAAAGGTTTATATATTTTCATTTGTTTATATTACTATATATATAGCTCTACTTTATTCTAAGTTGGAAGTGAATCATCTGTAGTTGAATTTTATCATTTTACTCTCTTAACCTGACAGCAAACGAGTTTTATACCAGCATGCAATAAATTGGATAAGTTTAGAGCATAATCTATCAAAATGCTTACAAAATAAATAAAAATCGATGAAAAGGTCTGACTGTAACCATGTCAGTTTTAAGGATGCTTAAGAAGTGACGACTTTTCAAAATATATTTATAGACGGTTTATTTAATAGAAATATCAATTTAGATTTTATCAGATTTTATGGCCTACTAAATACATATATCATTATATATAATCTACTTATAATCACGACAGCCCTATTAATCAGCGAATTATACTCAATTATATATTGCTAAATGTGTTATCTTCAACTTTTTCAGAGGACTTGGGTATTTTGTATTGCTACCTTTAGCACAAAGCCGAACTGAGTCCTTCGCCATAAAAAATCAGGGTCCGTTTCGATGAAGTTTAACATATCTTCTAATAGTGGGTGATCCCGTCATATAATTTTAAAACTCTGAAAACACTCCCAGTACAAAAATGATCGATAATATAAATATTTTTTTTAGGAAGTTCTTTTCATATGAAACGAAAAGTAAGCACTAATATCGCTTAGCGCTCTTCGGTTTGGCATAAAGATTAGTAGGCCAAGTTTTTTTGCAGTATTGTAGTTCTTAAAAATTTTCTTAACAGATTTGA